ATATATATATATAATTATATAATTATTTTTAATCATAAACTTTAATTATGTGCAAGCCAAAAAATGAGTAATGTGCATATTATAACATAACATCAACTGATTAGTGAAAGAAACAAAATCCAATGGTTATGAGAGGAAGCTTTTCTCATGACAAATTGTTAAAATCACATATTGTAAAATTCAAAGATTAACATACATACCATTCAATTTCTATGTATTTAGTTATATACAACCAAGATTTAAATTTTTTCATATACACCATTTTACCTGTGTATGAAAATGGATATCCCTTTTTTAAATTTAAAATTGGTATTTTTTTTATGGAATGTGAAATATGTTGTGCAAAACAATACAGAAAAAACAATTCACTCAACAAACAAACAACCAAACATAATACTACTTACATGCGTTGAATTTGAATTTGTCAAGTGAAGCTTGCTCAAGGATCAGAGCGATAGAAACCAAAGAGGAGAGAAAGAAAGAAAGGGAGAAAAAGCGGGAGAAGGAAGAAATAAAAGAGTTGACATAGACTTGCCCCGTAGGGGAAAATTGTGGTATTTCCGAGCTCTATGACCCATTTTATATATTGAAATTGAAGGGTTACAAAAGCAAATGAGAGAAAGATATCCTTATAGGGTATGGGTCTATAGAGAATATCCAAAATCCTCTTTTTACATGCATTAAACCCCTATTTTATAGAAGAAATGTGGTCATAAAGGTGTAAAATTATATGATTGCCCCTATTTTAATATGGGTGCTATAGAGAGTTATTGTCTTTTGGCATACATATTCATATCTGTAACTGATTTTGCACTTGTTCATATGGATTGAACTTCTGCTCGGCAAGTCTTTGGGGCGGCAGTCCAAGCTGGTTCGATCATCCAAGCTTGTTCGATTGGTCATCCAGGCTGGGTCAGTTGGTCGGTCGCACTTGTTCATATGTAAGCAATGCTCTTCTTATCGAGAGTATTCTTGGGCATCCCCCAACATGTAATTAACTGAAGGAATACATTTCTTTGGAAGCTGCTCTTGACCCGAAACAAGCAAAAAACATGATTCTCTGGTTGTGGGTTGCATTTATAGGGTGCATAGATGTTCCTAATGCACTATCCTTCTGATTTTCTTGCTTTCTGGTTTCTCTCTTATTCAAATTATCTTCATGATTCAAAAGAAACATTTATTTGGAAGGAGAATTACATGACTACGATAAGACAAGCTGGCGACTCTAAAGTTACAAAAAGAACGAAAACAATGACCTCAACTCATTAGACTTTATATAATCCAACATTAGACAACAAACACTAAAATTTCTCTACAGAAGTCCAGTTCATCTTCTCTGTCATCCCATTCTACTGTAGTGTCGTTAAAAAAATGAAGTGGTGCTCTTTTCCAGCTCTCTGACACTCTTATAAGAACAAATTGGACGTGTATTCGCACCATTGCCTAATTTGATACACCAAATATTTTTTCAGTCCGAGTCTCTATCAACACCTCTACAGAAGTCCAGTTCATCTTCTCTGTCATCCCGTTCTACTGTAGTGTCTTTAAGAAAATGAAGTGGTGCTCTTTTCCAGCTCTTTGACACTCTTATAAGAACAAATTGGATGTGTATTCGCACCATTGCCTAATTTGATACACCATATATTTTTTCAGTCCGAGTCTCTATCAACATCTTCTAAGTTAAGAAAATCTCTAACATCTCGCCCTTGTGTTTCATGGTATACACCTAAACACATTGAGAGTAATTATCAATAAAAAAGATAAAATATCTTTGCATGCTTAATAATGTCATCCTCTTCAGGCCCCACATATCTATGCAAACATGCTCTAAAATACCATTTGTTCTAGGGGTGATAGTAGCAAAGAATATCCGTGTCTTATTGTCAATCACACAATATTCATAGAAATAAAGCTTGCAGGTGCTGCTTTGATCGATCATCCTTATCAAAGCTTGAAGCGGAGCCTTTCCAGCACGAGCTAGCCGCCTATGCCTCAGCATAGTGGCGTTGAAAATTATCAATAACGACAATTGTTCCAACCACTATACTACAATGAAGATATTAAATGTTGTGATGACAAACTCCCTTTATAGATATCAGTGCTCCATGACATAATAACTCTTGCCTTAATAACTACCTTATAGCATCTGATCTCTAATGCTCTAACTGATAACATATTCTTTCTGATATCTAGAATATGTCTAACATCAGTTGGCTCTCTCACAGTACTGTCATGCATCCCGATAAAGATGCTCCCTACACTAATATTACAACAAACTTGATTGTTGCTAATAGTCACTGCACCACTACCAAATTTCTTATAAGTACAGAATCACCCTTGATGGGGGGCAAATATGATTGGTATAATCTGTGCATAGACTTTTTCATGAATCATCTGTATATATAGTGTGATAAACTGAATATAACTATACATTTGAATCCGCTTTGTCATTTCTCTCTATAATAATATTAAATTTCTCCTCAGAGTAAACTTCCTTTCTTTTTTCTTCTACTTCTGAAAATATTTATTCCAACGACTAATCTCTTAATAAAAAGCACGAAGCTTTTTCCCAAAACTGTGCCCATGAGACTTGTCCCGCTTTTGAGAAGCATCGTCGTTGCCACCATTATTTGTCCAATTCATTTTCTTCTTTTCAAATCCGTCACATTGAAGTATAAGTGCCCCAATCGCTCAATCTTTGTAGAATATTTGTCCCTTCAACGAAACTCATGATTCAACAACATCATAGTCACATCACTATAATTCAATATCTCTTGACCACGAATGAGTGTCATTATAAAGTCTCGTAGTCATCTAGGAGCGAATTCAATAAAAAAAGTGCATTGCCTTCATCTTTAACCTCCTCATCAATATTTAACAAATCTGAAAGCTTTGTAAAATCATTCAAGTGTTCATAAATAGTAAACCCACATCTCATCTAGAACTTGAAGAGTCAACTCTTCATATGGAGACGATTCTTCACGCTCTTCGTGAGATATTTATTCTCCAACTTTTTTCATAATTTTAGTGAGTCTTCACTATCACCCATGTTTGATCTTATGAGATTTCAAATTTTGGATCAATTCACAAACACTTTAATTCATCTTCAGCCAATATCTTTTGGAGATCAACTTAAATGCTTTTCTCACTATCAATATCTTCATTATCAATCATCTCACACCGCCACATGCCAAATTTTCATTTGTCATAAAATTGTATCACATTGGTCTTGATGGGATGTGTAACCACTTGATGAATTGACGTCTTTTCCATCATCGTGGTGAAGGTTGAAGTACCCGATCATATGCTATCATCCATGATTCTACTAGATATTGTAGCGCATCACCATAATCGCTATTCCGAATTTGATACCAATTGTATTGCAAAACAAATACGAAAATTGAATTCACACAATAGACAGACAACCAAACACAATATGATTTATGTGGTTCAAAACCAATCCACCTTCGTCCATGCAGAAAGTTTATTCCACTTTCAAGAAGCAGGGAGAAATAAAAAATCAATCGAATTAGGATTACAACTCAACACTCCCAAATCATTCATAATCCCTCATATAATAAATAAGACAGGATTAGTGTATGCAAATTAAAACATTTTCAAATATAAGAAAAATCACATATTTATTTCTCCTCAAATTATGTTTCTTAACATAGAACTATTATATAATATGATATCCCTAAATTATGTTGTCTAAGATCAATCTTCCTAATATACACGTTTACCATTTTACAACCATCAGATTTTAATACTTTTCATGACAAAACATTTGGTCGATGTAAATATAAAAAAGCAAAGTTCTGGTGTTAAATGTGCAAATACATAAAAATTTGGTGGTATGTATGTAAATTTCCCTTTTTAATCTTTGAAAAAAAAAAAGTTTGACTAATCTTGGAGACCACATGCTGTCAAAATGGAATTATTTTAAAGCGTAAGAAAATGCTAAAATTTGATTGATTGATATTAATTTTAAACTATATAATTCCTTTGCGTTCTATCAAACATGATTATTTTATGAATATTAAACTAGAGAACCAATTTAATATTTTCTATAATGTATCTTCTCTATCCGGCCGTTAAATAAGCCACATGACGAAAATAAGCCACATGACGAACGATATCTATTTTTTGTTTTCTATTTTATATGAAAGTGTTTCAAACACCGGTTCAAAATAAAAAGTCTTATAGCTCAATGATAGAATGACCGGGGGTATCATACGAGTCCCGACCATCCCTCATGTGCCTAAAAATTCAAATATCACACCCTACACTCGGGGGGAATTGAACCCCATACCATATGGGCCTTACAACTGACAAGCAGATGTCCGACCAGCTGATCTGAGTACGTGACATATATATATCAAATCACCGCCACCCAACTACCGCCGAACTACCATCACCGTTTCGTGACCACCATCGTCAGGCTGCTGCCATTGAATATACTGTTAATAGATTTCTAGCACATGACTCCTGAGCATTTTCTACCACTTCGTTAATGAAAGTCACATCTCAGTTGTCTAATATTGCTCCGAGCTATTCAAGTTCCAGTAAAGTCTTATAACCAACTCGACATAATATAATCATGTTGAGTAAGATGCTTTGATTTTTACCTTCAGTCTCTTTTTACACAAGTGCATGTCAGATATTCATACAATACTAAAATATTAATATATTACTCCTGCTTCACAAATTTCCAACCACATAAAAATATTAAAATCAAAGCATTAAAGTATAGTTAGGTTACTAATAATCCCAATCGGGACAATTGGAAACATGGAAGATGCATTTGTATTATCATATTACAATCTCATGCCAACTTAGTTGACTTAAATTTCATTAAAATATAAAAATAAGGCCTTTGGGCTTACACGTGTATGAAATTATATTCCAAGGAAATATAACCAATCAAAACTGTCCTCTCAGTTTTAAAATGATTTCGCTGCTAATCCAGTCATGGAGACGGGAAGATGAGAACAAGAGGCTGAAACGCAGCTGACGTGAAGGAGAAGAAACCCACATGTGAAGAAGCTGAGGAGCACTTCTCCTGCCTGCTCTATTTCCCTGTTCCCTGAAAGCGATATCACGGCCTATAAAACAAGGGTGGCCAGCCATGCACGCCCTCATTCTAAACCCTAGCCATCGCTCATTCAAACCCCCTCGTTCTTCCCTGTTCCCTGAAAGCGATATCACGGCCTATAATACAAGGGTGGCCAGCCATGCACGCCCTCGTTCTAAACCCTAGCCATCGCTCATTCAGACTCCCTCGTGATACTCTTTCACACCAATGGCTCTGCCTCTACCCTTCTCTTCCCCCGCTCTCTTACAGCGCCATTTCCACCGTTTTCTTCCCCTGCGACCCGCGGCGGTCACCGGAGCTCCACCTTCTTACTCTTCCCCTACGCCGACTGTCCGATCGCCGGAGAAGACGGTGCAGAGGAATTTGGATGTTGAAACGAATCTGGAGGTGCTGTACGATGATTTGTCGGGGAGGGTGAGTGTGAAGGATTATTTCGATGCTTCGAGGGAGGTTATAAAATCAGACGGCGGGCCGCCCCGCTGGTTTTCTCCGCTTGTGTGCGGGAAGCCGATAGAGGGCGCTCCTTTGTTGTTGTTCTTGCCTGGTAAGTGTGTTTGATTCGGTGTTGCTTGTGAATTGTTTCGCTAATGGCTCCATCAAAGCTCTAATTGCGCGTGTTTGCCTACTCTGCGGCTTTACCAGTGCTGGGGAGCTCTTTCAATATAAGAATTAGCATTTGTACTGGTCACATGAAATAGTATTGATAGCTAGGGTATGGCTTCATGACGATTGTGAAGCTGGGATTCTTGTGTAGGCATTTGGAGATTCAGTCTGCTGATAGGTAGCTTATATATGCAGGTATAGACGGGACTGGATTTGGACTTATTTTGCATCATAAATCTCTTGGTAGGTGAGTTCAAATTCTCAATTATATGCTGTGATGTCAATTGCAGCGGAATGTGCATGATTTAATGAGGATAATCATGGCAATTTAGCTTCATTTTATCCATTTAATAACTCATTTTCTCATAATCTTTGAACTTGATTTACAGCAGGAAGCAATAAGAAAAATAAATCAATTTTAAGAGTTTTATTTTATGTTTTCAAGCTCTTTTGAATGCTAGATTGCTTTTAAAATTACTAGTTAAATTCTTTTGCTTGATTTAAGCGCATTTACATAATGTTTATCATCTTCATCACTGTATCATGGTTAGCATTATCACAATAATTTGAGGTTGGTTTTTATGAACGCTCTTTCTTTCATTACTTTTAATTTTTATACATGATTGCTAACTTGCAAAGCTTATTTTAGAACTTATACTCCTGTTACTTGGATTGACGTAAATTGAAGGAAATACGATGAAATTCTAGTTGATTATGATTCTATAACGAATTATCTAAAATTTTCATTTCTTTTCACTCAAATTCATCACATCTAAACACAGGCTCAATTGACTCTTTTTCATTTCTATTTCTTGCACATTAATTCTATTTATCTACTTTGTTCGTCTCAAAACCTGGGTTGGGAAGTTGCTACACCCCGACAACGCAGAGCATGATGAAAAAAAATTGAGCATGTTTTACAAAAAAAAAAAAAAAAAAAAAAAGGTGATGTTCTAAGGTTTGATCCTAAATTCCTAATACATGGAGGCATTTGGATATCTTCCAACCACTATTGCATCAACTTGTCTAAATTGATATGTGATGTTATAGTGCCTGATCCTAATTCCTAATACACAGAGGCATTCAGATATCTTCCTACGCTACTGCATTGAATTTTGCCATTGTTACAAGGTCGGATCTACCAGTAAAGATTTCCTAGAAGTTTGTTTGGAATTCAGCTAAATGTAATCTAATCTCTAAGAAGAATTGTGGTGGGATTGACTTGGGAATAAAGTTCTTGAGTCCAGAATTGAATCAACCACTTGATCTAGAATTTAAGGGTTCAGACCAAGTTCTCTGTTTTATAATTTAATCTTGCATGTGTTATTCTTGAAGGTAGTAATCTATCCATGTTTTGTTCACTTTAATTTCTTACAGGTTGCTGAAATCTCTGAAAAAACCTAAAGATTGGGTGTTGTAAACCCAAAATTCTTTAATTCTTGCTTTAAGAGGTAGGCTCCATTAGGTTGCTTGTAACCAGCCATCCGACCGCTGTTCAGACATTTGAAAAGGTTTATCAGCCGACTTTTGCAAGAATTTTACGTTTGCAGCTCTCTTGATAACTTTAAACTGTAGTATGTTGGGTTATCGATTCAACAACCTAAAAAAAATCAGGGTTTGGAATAGAATTGGCAAGCAGATGATTGTCGGAAATCCTAAATAATTTCTATAATTTTGTTGTCTTTATCTTGTCTATGGATGTCTTACTGTTTGTATTGTTGAGTATAATTAATTTTAATTCTAAAAACTTTTGGCGACAATATGATTGGATACTTTGTCTGACGGTGTTAGCAGTATGTATGTGGGCGAATAATGTGGTAAATTGACATTAAATTTTCTTATATTTTTAATCTTTATGTTGAGGTTGCATCTTTGGCTTGCCACATTTTATTAATATAGAGCATCTTTTACAGCAATAGATTTGTTGCCAAAAATAAAAAAAAGAAAAAAAAAAGAAAAAAGCCAGTAATAAAAATTTTCTCCATTTAACAACCAAAAGGACGATTTTTATTGTTAAATACTTGAAACCCATGCATCATTCCTTCCACTATGTTACCCATGTATATATTGAGTTATTCATTTGATTGTTGATTTTATAATTTGATGTTTGAAACAACATGTTTCTTTTTTTAGAAAGGAATAGCTTTCAAAGCTTTAGTTGATTTCATTTGTGCATAAGATTATTAGCTTTTCATGTTAATTTGATACATAAGTTCTCATCAATTATACCTGGTTTTTGTTCGGTTCTACGCCCTTACTAAGTTGCCATTTGGGATCACTTATAATTTATTTTATTTTATTTTATTTTATTTTATTTTGTTTATATTTTGATTGAAATAAAACATGTTTGACATGTCTGATTAAGATATGATTGTTTGTAAACACTCAATATACCTAAAAGCTGTTTCTAGTATTTTCAAAACTATGTGAATTTGTTTTTAGAAACAAAAAAATAAAAGCATGGAAAAAAACATCCTAAACAAACATTGATACCAGAGTTAACTCAAACGATAACTAAACGAACGACAAATATTTATTGCTAAAATTCAAAAGGGATTACAATTTTGACACTTAAACCACAAAACAACGACACAACACTGGAAATAAATGACAAACAACACAAACAATACTCTAGGGTGAGGACGTCAGTGCTAGGTGGTGGCTATACGTGAAGAAAGGCCGGCTGAGTTGGTGCTTGGTATGAGTATTTAAACTGGATTTAAATATTAATTTAACGTAAATCTAGCCCCGAACACTAGAAATTAAATATACATATTTAACGGTAGGTTAAATCCATTTTTTTCTGTTTCGTGTATTTTATAACATAAATCAATATTTATCAAATTTAATTTTTAGTTCAAAGGGATTTATACCAAACACATCAAACAGATTTAACTGGATTTAATCTTAAGTCAGCCAAACATTATTTCATATTTAACTATATTTGGATTTGATAAATCCAGATTTATTCGATTTATTAAATCATAACTACCTTAAATATGGCGATTGTGGCTGAAGGGAAGGAGTAGTGCGAGCTAGCCGCAGGAAGCGTCGTAGTGAGGGTGTTGTTGAAGCAAGAGGGGCTCTAGTGAGAGGCCAACGACTATAAAACCAGAGGCAGGTATTGAGTAGTAGTAAGGAAATTGAGAGGGGTGGCTTAAGAAGGTTGGGAGGGGGATAATGACAGATTGAGAGGTGGAGGTGAGGTGTGATTTCCACAAGAAAGGGTGGGAAGAAGGGAATACAATAACAGTAGGCTATGGGGGCAGATTTCCGCAACAATATGTGGTTTTCTGGGTTGGTGGTAGGGAACCAGGAATGAGGGATGTTGCGGAGGAGGTGGAACGTCGAGGATAATCACCACCTTGGAGCGAGGTACAACTAGAACACCACTCAACCTCATATACCAACCCTGGAAAGGGAAAAGAGGATGCTAATGGTTGTCCCCAATAAAAATTTGAAATCAAACTCACAAAACATAATTCTAATTCCACAATACACATATAAATATAGATGGAATAGAGGAGGAAAACTAAAAGGAAAGGAGTAAGCAATGGGCAGTAATTCCAACCCACCTTAAGGAGGCCGATCAGTCCAGCAGTAGGCTGAACCGGAATAGGAGCCGGCCGGTTCGGCTAAATCCTCCTTTCAGCTAGTTCATTCAGTTTCTGCGAGCCCTACTTCTGTCTACCGATGTTGGGGAGCTTCAACATCATTCGTCGAAGCTTCTAGTCCTCGTTTGTGATTCTAGCAGCACGTGGATCCCTGGTTGACTACACTGTCTCCCAAGGCATCTGAGAGTCTTCCCAAACTTACGAGCAAACATCCACATCGGTCCAATCTTCTGGGAGTCTGTGACTCAATTGAACTGATTCTACTTGTCTCGCATCTACTGTTAAATGCTTCCAAAGTGACCCACTGTCAGCTAAACTAGATTGAAAGTGGTTCGGTCCAATCTTCTGGGAGTCTGTGACTCAATTGAGCTGATTCTACTTGTCTCGCACCTACTGTTAAATGCTTCCAAAGTGACCCACTATCAGCTAAACTAGATTGAAAGTGGTGATAACTTGACCCTTCTCGCACAGTGGTGGCGTCAGTGATAAGGTGTCGACCATAATATCCTTACATACTCTATATCATGCTGTTCCTTGTCTATAGTTGGTGTCTCAATACCATCATCCTCCGTCGTTACTAAAACTGATCTCACCGATGTTGCTCTGTTGATAAGAGCTCTTGTGGCCTCGTGATCCATCTAAGGAAGTAGGAGATGCACTTCACTTTCTTGGTGAAGGAATATGTGGCTTTGAATATATCGTGTTGAGTTATTCGATCAAACTGTCACGGTCTTCCCTATAGGGATCACATTACACTACACTTAATCCTGTAGTTCACTCCCGATCGAAAACTCTACTAGGCCCCTCCAGTTAATGCTGACTCTGTTCTTCTTCTTCAGACATGCCAAAGAATATGGCTGGGAGTGACTTTGAGTTTTGAGACCCAATTTTTATACCATTTGCATAGATTCCACATTCTTATTGCTCCCCTCGTTAATGTGAGATGGCACACCATGTCAAAGAATAAGGCTGGGAGTGACTCTGAGTTTTGAGACCTAATTTTTCTACCATTTGCATAAATTCCACATTCTTATTGCTCCCCTCGTTAATGATGAGATTGCACACCTTTCAATTCATCGTGAAGCGGGTGTAGAAGATATTGTGGCGAAGCCACTGCGAATCCCTCATATCTCAGCCTGTAGGATCCGTCGAACCACGAGTCTCTCTCCTTCATCTGGTAGCAGTTGGTACACCTCACCCCATTCCTCAGCTTTCTCCTCATCTCTAATCTCCTCCACGACGCCTTGCTAAGTAAAGGACACGACTTGGCTTGTCGAGCAGCTAGAGGTAAGATGCTGAAATCTATGGTATTTGAAACATTTTCTGGTCGGGACTGTAACAGACGTGCTACTCTTCTCAGGCATCTTCTCATTGGGGTGGCTCTATCCTTATTCGAACCAGCTTTCTCAACCCCATGAGGTCTGCTTCTGCTGCTGCCGCCAATTGTGGATGGTTGTCTGACTGATGGTGTCTGCCCGCTATGTTTTTGTTGACTCTCCACTTTCAATGCTAAGGTCTGAACATCTCCAAGTGATGCATAAGGCTGCAACTGTACCACATTGCTAATAGCAGACTTCAAACCCCCCATAATGACTTATGGTATGCTTCTCTAGTTCAACCAATGTATACCTCATCTCCAACCGATCAAACTGCGTCATGAACTCCTCTACTGACAAGTCTCGCTGCTATTAGTGGTAGAGCCTCGGAAACATGCCCTGGCTGTAATGATGTGGTAAATATTTCCTCTTGAGTTCTTTCCACATCTTCTTTCACTAGGGGATTTTATCATAAACTTTTTTTTCTCTTCCTTTGCAAGTTCTCTCACTAGGAGGCGCTTCTTTTCAACTTAATGGCAACCTTTTTATCCATTGACACTTTCTTATATTCAAAGATTCTTTCAACGCATTGTAACCACGCAACAAAATCATCTAAATCCATACCTTCATCAAACTTTGACAAATATATTTTGATGTCGAAGTCTCTGTGCTCTCCAAATGATATCTCCTCTATGAAATTCTCTCTATGGAAGGGATTCAGATACCTCTCTCTATGCCTCATCTAATTCTAGATTCCGAAACGTCGCGGCCTATCTTCTTCATCGCTGAAATTTTTCATATGGAAATGATTCAGATCCTCATCTCTTTCTCCCCTTTGACTTTCTAGATCTCAGTCGAGGGTAACTTCCCCTAGGTGCTCTCTTTCATCAACCTCCGCAAGCCTCTGTTGAAGATGACAGAGCTCTCGCCATATCTCTTTTCAGGTAGGCTCGGACATATATCTTCTTGGTGGCATGGTTAAGGTTTAAGATTTGTGTACGTGAAAATGTTATTTAGTGGCGGGAAGGAAAAATTTTGGATTATGGTGGATGCTAGGAAACCCTACGATAGGATTAGGGCTAGGCTAGCTCTGATACCAGATGATACCAGAGTTAACCCAAATCACGACCAACTGACAATTATTTATTGCTAAAATTCAAAAGGGATTATAATAACGACACTTGAATCAACAAAATTACGA